ATTGGGAATCGAACTCGAAAACTTGAGCCCTGGCCCGCTCAGTATGCCTGTCCTTGCCTCGACCAACAACGATGACTCTGGCATGCCGCCGCCACATCTTTCCTTTCATTCCTTGGTCAATCCTCCAAGTTCCTCGAATATCGGGATATTGTTCAGAGCGAGCATACACTTATTCTTAACTGAGCTTCTCACTGACTGAACTGTTGCACTGTAACGACCCTCTTTCTCATGAGTTGTCAACATCCCAGTATGATGACAGAAAAAACAGAGATTAGAATTCCAGCGTGCTTGAAAGCTTCGAGAGGGAGAAAGTGTCTCGAAACCTGAATCCTTGTGAAACTAATAAACAAGTAAAGGAGAAGATGTAAATGCGTAGACCAAAAGGAGAATCGGAAAAGACCTAGATGGGTCACTTCGGGTCGGTGCTCGGAATGGAAGTGTCGTGTCGTTGAGCTCGGGACGTTCCACTAGGGTTCTTCTTGCACTTGTTTCTGGTACAGCGAATTCAACGCCCAGATTGCTCAGGTGATCCTAAGCACCAACTTGAAGCGCTTCTTTATTCTTAGAATACTCCTTTTTCCTGATTTAATCCCACGTCTATCGTATCCTTAAGCCTTGGATGTCATGAATCCCGCCCCGTTCCTTTCTTTCGCGAGGAGTCTGGTAGAACTCAATGGTCTTTCGCTTGGGTAGTTGTAAATGACGCAGAACTTCCACAACACGGGCCTCAACTCGATCTTGACGCAAAACAGGTCCTTTGTTGTATTTCTTCGGTAGTCCGTCCGGTTTTCGCTCCGAGATAAAGATGAATCGCATCCTCTGATGTGTTTTCCGAGTCAAACAAAGATTGGCGTATTATAATGGGGAGCCTGTGGACAGTTCCTATGGAACAGGACACCGGGTCATACGAAGTAGAGCTCAAGTCTTAATTTATTCAAGGATATAGGCATCCACTGGTAGAGCAACGAGAGTCCAGCAGAGGAAACTGAACGCTTTGGATAAAGCCTGGATTCCAGCCATGGAAGAAACTCACAATAAGAGTTTTTCGAGCTGAATAAGTAACCTGTTCTATTAAAGGATCTCTTCAGAAAGTATGAGTTATTCACAAGATATGATCGGTGATAGATGGAGCGTTTGTGATTGGCACCTGTACAGGTGAAAGGACAGCTACGAGTAATTGATGATAACTGAGCGATCACATTGGGAGTGATGTCGCCGGGCCGACTGTTCTCCTTCAAGGCAAATACTACATGTACAAAGACACTTCGGAATGTTTTTTTTTTCTGATCAGGTCTCGCAGTTACCGGCAGTCTTTATCTGCCCCAATCAATCAATCATATGTTGCTTCAGAAAAACAAAGGCTAGAGAGTGAACTTTACGCGTGATCATACCTATGATGTTAAGAAACCATTTCCGTGGACATCATCATCTCATTCATGTCGAAGGCATGAAAGCATGAAAGTTGTGGTCATCTTCTAGTACAAGCTTAGCCAGTCTCGGCAATTCCACAGGATTTTGTCTGAGTGGTATGTATGGTGGCTTCAGTTGGAATGGGTTCCTTCACTCCGATGTAGCACGCGACTGATACACGGGAAGGTGGGAGACTAATGCCTGCCAGTGGGCTCGGAGGATTCGTGCTAAATGTGTTCGAAGATAAAGGTGAAATACTGTTGCTAATTTCTCTTTCCAGCGCTCTAGGCGCGGTCTGGCTCGCTTGGACCTGAACAATCATTAAGGTAGGCATGATGCTCTTGATGTACAACGACATTACTGAAGGGAATACTTAACAGAAGTACCGGACTTACGACGACTCGGGTTGCGGACAAGAGGAAATAGGTCTATATGGAGACGGGTGAGATCATCGGACAACATAGAAATGAAAATCAAGATACTTTGCAATTGGGTGGACTGACGTTGAAGAGAAGTACAGTGATGGGGTAGATAGCACCACTTTCCAAGCTGATATAGATGACGTTGGAATGACCTCGTTTACCGATGATGTGTATACGCACATGATAGTAATGGCGGTGCGATATCTTTTGATCTGCCGTTTGTCAAGCAGGGAGTGACTAGTCCGTGCCACCCACCAGATTCTCCCGGCTCACAATACGCACAGATTAGGATGATGATTTATGTAGGACAAAGTTGCTCACCTGTTGCGAGGGTCATGACAATGTTGAAAGCAAATACACTCCAGAAGAACAACGGGGTGAAAGTAGCCACGGCAAAGGTAGAAATATCGAGATATCTGATCGCAAGGTAGCCCCATACTGCCATCAGTTAGTCGGATATTCTATTGATTGAATAGAATAAAGGAATATACCTGAGTCTGCCGCTAACAATACGCCGGCTGCGATCAGAATAATCCTCCGATTACTCCATACCTTATAGCAACGGTATATCTACAAAGTGAGTCTGCCTCTCATTGCGATCGTAAATTCGGAGAAGCACATACGAGGAGCCCATCAGCAATAAGACTGCCGTATGACAAAGAGAAATTAGTACAAACACAGAATCAATAGAACTTCTACTTGCTTGTTGGTCACATATAGATACCCTATTGGACGGATCTGAGCAACAGCAACAGCTTCACTCATTTGAAGCTTCAGCACCGCTACATAGTCATGAAGCACCCATCGATACACTACGGAAATGTCTGCAACGGAGACAAAAAACATCGCGGTGATAGATAACAAGACGAAGAGATGAGCGGGATTCCGACGGGTGGCGAGGAGATAGGCACAGATGCCGAAGAGGACGATGTGGATGCCTGGAATCGGCAGAGATTCAGCGGAAGATGTAGCTATGTGCACTTGAATTGAACTTCACCGAAGAGGAGAGTCTCCACCTATAGGGAAGATCTATCGTCAATGAGTCGGCCTTAAAGAATATTTGGATATTCTATGACTTACCAGCAATGCGGAAAGGACAGGTGGAACTGTGACTACCAGCCGCTCATACGCATGGGGAGAGACTTCGGTCATATTCCCAGTAGTCAGCGTGTCGTTCTACTTCCACAGCTTGACAGGTAATGCCAAAGGTCAAAGGACAGAGGGAGAAGAGGATCAGTGGGCAATCTCATTGACCTGGTCTTTCTAAAATGTAAAGACCTGTGCTACCTCTTTCCCTGACATCAACAGACGTGGGAACGCTACCATATTCAGGCTAAGTGTCAACATGCGCCGTTGGATATCGAGGGTGGCCGTTCTGAATCGATGATGGCCGAATTGACAGATGGTACTCATTTCCTACGTGAGATGACGCATTTTGGCTAAGAAACTATCTAGCTACTGATGAGACGCAACTTAGAGAGTACTCGGTCAGTCAAGTCGATAAGAGTCAGTTGACAAGAGATGGGAAAAAGATACACGCTCGTGGGTTCAGAATGGGGTTGGAAAGACGCGGAAATCCGGATTCACTATCCGGGTAGAGTCAGATGGACAGGCCAACAAGTCTGCAATCAGTGCATATTACTCCGAATCTGATATAGGTTTCAGCTATGCCAAGACACCGAAGCGGAGTATGACCAGTCAAAGATATCAAGCTTTCAAAGGCGGTATCGGCGCTAAATACTTGTACTGCAGATGAAAGCGGGGCACCGGCGCTGTAGTGAACCATCTCAAAGGTCTAAAAGGCTAGGAAAGGCTATCGCAGTCTCGATTCCTCTGTGGTTCTTTGTCCTTTCGTGAAACTGGCTCTGCGGGGACTGGCTCTGTGGGGGACCGGTCAGTCGAAACGAACGCGCAAAGGACAGGTGTGAGGACTTTTGAGGTGCGACTTTTTTCATAAAAGTAGAGTATAAGCGTATCTCATCAAGTTGACTCTTTGACTTGGGCAAGCCCATTGATAATATATGCACTAATTTCCTTGAATGTCTGAAATTGTCCTGGTGCGTACTGCTCATACGTCGGGCTATCACCGAACGCGATCTTCGCTGTTTTAATCTAAGAACAACGCCATGAGAATGGTAGATTGTCTTTCAATCTATAAGGAGTGCGTACGAGTAAGTCAGCAGTCAGCCCTTTGATTGGGGAGGCGGAGCTTCTCAAGCGATGGGTCCGGTACATCATGTTCCCCAAAAGTGGCACTGCGGAATCCGACGTATTCTAGATGGCGGATTATAAAGGGATTGGGAGATTTCGTTAAGAAAAGAGAAACGTACATAGAGCTCAGCTTCGTAAGGCCAATTTTCAGTCCCAATGTCGACTAGCGGTTCGGATTTGGCGAGAGTGGGATCTAATACTGCTCGAAGGGGATGTGTGAAAATGCAGGCCACTTCACTCTCTTCTGCTTTTAATTCATTCAACAGTGATGGCCGCGTGAGGATTGCAACAACGGGTGTCACCACGATCTTATATAGAGAAATTGCCGGTTCCAATACCGCGACAGTGTGAATGTCCGGCGAGCCTAACGGTAGACCAACCTCTTCGTGGGCTTCACGGTACTGTCGCAGTCATACTCAAGGGTCAGCAATAGTAATCTAGAAGAATACAATCAAGAGACCCACGGCAGTACCAATCAAGCTCGTATCTGTATCATCCGCTCTGCCTCCGGGCAGTGCGGTCTGTCCTGGGTGCGTCCGTAAGGTCTTCGAGCGTGTTGTCAGCAGAACACGTAGATCCCCGGCTTCTTCGTAAAGAAGAATGAGCACAGCACCGAGTTTAGATTTAGGATACCCTGAACTACATCGAAATTGCGTCAGCTGGTAAGTTCGGCCCCTTTCGAGAGGTGACTAACGGACAGATCGGGCCTCTCGCGTGAAGTCGCTAGTAATCGTTTGATGCAGGCGCGGTTAGCTGGAGAAAAGAAATCGAAGACCGTCTCTGAGACGGAGGCGATTGTGAAGTCAGCCATGAAGGTGGAGAACAACCTGGATCTGAGGAAATTGTCGGCGGAGCCGGCTCGGAACACCCCTCTTTTCCGATTTGGTCGGCGACAATGGTTGCCACACGACCTGAACACGATTCAGTTACGTCTTGCTCTGCTTTGAGCTTTTGAAAGGGGGCATAGCTCAGTTGGGAGAGCAGCAGACTGAAGGTTTCTTGCTTTCTGAAGGTCCCGCGTTCAATCCGCGGTGCCCCCATTCGAGCATCAAATACTCTAATGAACTTTTTGTATTCTCGCAAGTCTTGGTGGGTGGGTACAATATTTGGGCAGTATTGCTATCCATGATCAATGACATCAATGAAATGTAGTCAGGATTTGATTCATGTCATTCAGGGTTTGCATTATCTGCATGCAAGTCCAGCACTATACACAGAACCTGACCCTGTTCATGATTGGAAGGAAAGAGGAACAGCATATTTATTATCCACTCTTATCTTTCAGAAATTGTGTTATCAAAGGAATAGAAGAACATAGATGAATTTAGGATGAGCCATACCTTACTTGTGACTTCCACAGCCTGCTTGTCATGTAGGCTTGTGCACAGACTGTAAGTAAACCTTTCTAAATTTTATGTAAGTTGATGTTTCCCTACATTAGGAGGAGCCAAGCTTCAAGCCCTTACAAGAGGTGGTAAATGATAGCTTCTCAGTTTAGACCAAACTAGATTCAGATGTTTGGGTGGTAGAGTTTCTTGTATATGTCAGGGAAGGAATTTATGAAAATGAGTGGAAGAAAGAAGCAAGTAATTGTAACACAGCCATATGTCAGTGATATGTTAGTTACAGTGAACTGTAATTGCATAAGCAGAATTCTTGTACTTCTACCAACTGGTCTAATCAAAACTTAGTCTGATTCTGGTTGCACAAAAGATGCAAGATATTTTCTCATAAATCTGTTACTTTTTTTTTTGAATCTTTTGTATAGAGATTCAGGCTATTGGTACTTGGCTTTCTGCTTCTGGCAACACATCACTCTTCTTAGCTCCTCCCATGCTTCATCATAGTATGAAGCTAAAAATGACAGGTTCAGAACCTTCTGCACCAGTTCAAAATGGTACTCTCAATGCATCTGCACCAGCTACTTACTGCTGGAGAAATGTCAACAGTGTCAAAATATGTTCTGCTGTTGAAGCATGACAAAGACCTGGATTCATTTGGACTCACTGCAAATGAGAGCTTTGGTATGCTTGGAGGATTATCAGTGTCCTGAATGATGAATATAGTCAACCCTAGGTTCAAAACAAGTCAACTGGGTTGCAGCCAGTTATATGCATCTTGAATGGTGAACCAAGAATGTCCAAGCATATTGTGCTTCTGAAGAAACATGCAGTTCACTGACTTAGTCTAGGGCAGTGATCCTGTGCATAGCACATCATTTAGGGCAGTGCAGCCCAATTGATTGGTAGATCCTGGTGTAACCAGGCTGGAGCAGTCATCAATTCATATGATGCAATATCAAATCATGCAGTGTGAATGGCTGTCTGAATGGAACCAAACCAAACCAGAACAAGCACTAATAGTGCAATTGGACTCAAGGCAGCCTAATGATAGTGCAACAAGAATGGAGAAGGCACAATAAGTGCACACTACTGGTACATAGAATAAGGATAGTGGCCCTAGGCCACTAGTGAGGCACAAGAGCTTAAGGAATTTGCCAGACTTGGAGGCTAGAAGTGGGTCCTCTGATGAAGAGGAGGATTGCAAGTTGCATTCAACCTTAACAGTCCAGTTACAACTAGTACTGGATCACTATCTAACAGTAGCTAAGGCATCAATGCATCAGTGACTGCAATCATATGCAGTAAAACACCTATAAATGATGGCCAATAGTGGCCAGACCATGCCTGCAGCAGATTCAATTGAATATATTAAACTATTTGTGCATATATTCAAACTTAAGGTCAAAGAATACCTCAATTGAAAGGCTAAGAGAGGAACATCATCCTCAACAGCAACTCTGGCAGATTTGGTTGATTATGAAGCATTGCATCAGAGAATGCTGGTCATCACTGATGTCATGGACTTGTTGAATGCCCCACAGCAGGCTAATGAGATGCAACAAGACTTTATAAGATGGCAGAATGCTGTGAGACAGTAATGAAGTACTTTAGGAGTGCCCAATATGGCACTGTTGGAAATGAAGACCATCACTATGACACCAGCAGAGCACAAGCAAGCATAGCTGGCCATGAAGGCTAAGACACATTACAAGCAGGTAACTATAAAGGAAGAAGTTATTGAACCTCTTGAGCAAACACCATTGCAATTTAAGTGACATGTAGACCTGTTAGATGACTGGAATGACTATGTTAATTATTAATGCATTCAAAATCAGAACTTGTATGAGTTTGAGAAGTTGTTAATAGATGACCAAGGAGTTATATATTTAAAGAGTGTGATAATGTAACATGCATAGATGAGATGCAGCAGCAATTTGTGGCCAGAACTGCAAATTCAAACAAGGATCTGGATAGAAGTGATGACAGTGATGGTGACCAAGAGGATGGCCAGAGAGGTCATCAACCTAATGGCTAAGATAATAGGAGTTGTTGTAGTCTAGAGCAAAATTCTAGTAAACCACTAGGAAAACCACCATCAGATGAGAATTCTGAGAATTGGTGTTAGCAATGCCAAGAACTCAAGCCACTATACAAAGTACCAAGAGCATTTTTAACATCTGCATCACATGATTTATGGGCAAGTACCCCAGGAATAAATGAAGTAGTGAGGATTTATATAGATTATATGCATGCCTGCTTGAATAACCTGGTTGTCAGAGGACCTATCTCTCTCCACCTTTCACCTCTTTACTCTATTATGATTTTCCTTTGGTCTCCTCCTTTAGCCCTTCCTTTTGGCTCTACTTTCAGTCCTCTAGCCTCAATCCTACTTTGTCAATAATCCAAACAAGTTCCCAACCCAGCAGATCAACAATGTCTGGCAACTTCTCGAGTTTGGTCATTTTTAGAGATTTTGCTCTTTTAGGTTTCCTTGTGGCTGATTGTGGCTTTTGTGTACTGCAAAGTTTCTTTCCATGCATCAGAAGCCTCTAAAGCATTGTTCCTGATATAGACAATCCTCAGACTTGTTCTCTTTGGATTTTCCTTTGTTAGATGAGTAGTTAGACTGGTAGTCAACTGTACAATACTCAATACACTTTGGATCTCCCTCTGCCAGCTGTGTGACTGAGCCATAGCCTTCAGAGGTCACCCTTACAGCAGAACAAGTCTTCAACTTTGGTCTAGGAGCCCCCCTTTAGCCTGCTTGAACCCCCTTTCTTGCTGCTATTTGTAAGGGTGACCTCTGGGGGCTGTGGCTCAGTCACACAGCTGGCAGAGAGAAATCCAAAGTATATTGAGTGTTGTACAGATGATTACTGGTCTAACTACTCACCTGGCAGAGGGAAATCCAAAGAGAACAAGTCTGAAAATTCCCTATGCCAGGAGTGATACAGGAAAGGCCTAAAGAGGCAAATCTCTGAAAATGATCAAACTCCAGAAGTTGCCAGACATTGTTGATCTGCTGGGTTGGGAACTTGTTTGGATTATTAACAGGGTAGAATTGAAGCTAGAGGGTTGAAAGTAGGACCAAAAGGAAGGGTTGAAGAAGGAGAATAAAAAAAAATTATAGTGGGGCAGAGAAGTGAAAGGTGGAGAGAGATAGGTTCCCTGACATCACACCCTCTCTAGTGTGCAGCATCTCAACATGCAGGGTAGAAGAAGCCTCAGATGGCTTAGGAAGCATTAAAGTGTTGTTGATAAAACTCTTGGACTAGAGCAGGTGCATGGACATTCTCCTGTAGTTCCCAAGATATATCCTCAATGCCATAACCCTTCCACTTCACCTTGAACTGAAGCTTATGCTGAAAGAGATGACTGTTCAGAATCTCCTCCATTTCATACTCCTCCTTGTAGTTGATCAGAACTGGTGGTGGTGGTGGATTTGGACAGCGGCCAAGAATAGAGTCCTTAGGGGCAGGAAATAGCTTTACCACATTAAAGACTGGGTGAAGTTGGTGCATCCTCACAGGTAGCCAATATGCTAGAGGGCCTATCTGTTGTTCAACCATAAATGGTCCCAGATGGCAGTGAGATAGCTTTTGTGAGGGCCAAGTAGTCATGATATCCAATCCATCCAGATATACTTGATTCCCTGGCTTGTACTGTGGTGCTGGCATGCATTCTCTGTCATAGTATTGGGCCATGTCATCCTTTGCCTTAGCTAATGTTGCCTTTGCCTCCTCCTGTGCAATTCTCATCTGATCCACAAACTTGTTCACTGACTTGTTCTTTAATAGATGTGTACAAGGCTCAAAACCCATCTGAGAATGACAGCCAGTGTCCAGGAAGATTGGGGACATCTGTGTGCAGTGTGAATGTGGTTGTTATATTGGAACTCTACATCTGAAAGCAGCTCATCCCAGTCATCTTGCCGCTTGTTGCAGAACAAGTGCAGATACTGCTTTAGCTCCTGGTTAACATGCTTTGTCTGGCCATCAGATTAAGGATGGTAGAGAGTGGAGGTGTGAAGCTTCACATTGAGAAGGTGGTAGAGCTCTTGAGTAAACTCTGCAACAAACTGCAGTTCTTAGTCAGAGACATAGGTGTCAGACAGGCTATGCAGCTTCCAGACATTCTTTCAGTAGAGATTGGCAGCTCCCATAGCAGAGCATGATGTGTGGGTGGGAATGAAATGAGCTCACTTACTACAAAGGTCCACTACTACCATACTGGCATCATATTCATGAGCATCTAGTAGCTCCACTATGAAGTCCACTGAGGATATGCTCCAGCACTCTGCAGGGATAGGGAGAGGATGAAGCTGTCCCATAGAGAGTTGATGACGAGGTTTAGTTCAAAGACAGAGATTATAGATGCTGGTGTAAGAGCCAATTGTACCATGACATCTGAGGCCACCAGTAGTTGCAGGATACAATGATAAGCCCCAAAAGATTCCAATTGTGAATAGTTATTAATTTTAAATTTTTCTTGTTTTTTTTTGTGATGCAACAGATCACATGACTCAATATGTGATGACATGTGACTTGATAAAAATCACAAAAATCATGTTCAGTAGTCATAGTTCAGGACATTCTTTTTTGGAAAAAGAGTAGTATTAGAAAAAACTGTCTAAAAAGAGGCTTACTATGACCTCATAGGCTCCACTTGACAGCTACATATTTAGGATAGTAGGAGAA